GTTCGAAACGAACCTTCTTCCGCTTGGACAGACACTCTAAACCGTTTTGACGTCGAACGTTAACGCTTTGATGAAACGTATGGGTATATACACCGGTTGAACTCTTTGCTAACACATTACGATGATGCTGGTTGAAGGTCAAACGTGTCCACTCAACTTGAAGATGAACCATGTTCGAACGTTCGACGTTGAACCAACGAAATAAAATATTTCAAGTAACGTCCTGTTTACTTTGATCTTCTCTTCATCCAACGTCGAAACTAGACGTATCTCTGACAGCAAATTTATAGAATATATTAATTTTTATGTATGATAATAATTCAGATGAAGAACATTTGTTTCAATAAAAAAAAAAATGTCACATAGGTGAATAATATTAAACGATTCAACAAAATTATATAATTAATTAAAAAGAATACAAAGTAAGTTAGGAAAATGAAAATCATGTTAAATCGATTGAATTTAGTTCAATAGGTAAACTACTGTAGAAGGAAGTTGAACGAAAGTCGTTCTTATAATTAAAAAGAAACAAAAAAGAAGACAACATTTCCTTATCGAGAAATTATATGAGATATTAAAAAAAAAAAAAAAGAAAAAAGGATACAAAAAATATAACAAAAAAATTACAAAATCATATAATTAAAAGGAATACGAAGTAAGTTAAGAAAAAAAAGGGTTTATGTTAAATCGGTTGAACGGTTCAACAGGCAAGCTAGAAGAAAGGTGACCATAGTGGACTTCGAGAAGTGTCGGTCACGTTTAACGAAGTGCATGAAGCAACAGCAACGTTGTGGAAACGAAGTAGATCCGGTCTGTGGAAGCGATGCTAATACATATCCAAATCAATGTCACCTGAACGTAGCGATCTGTTTGTGAGTAGTATAAAATAAAAATAAAATATTTTCTAATAGTAAAAATTCGCGTTTGATTTGATCTGCGTCTACCGAAAAAAGTTTATTGAACCAAAAAATAAGAAAAAAGAAAAGAAAACGAGCGAGTACGAATTAATCTTGATGTTTGATGGTAATCCTTTTTCAGAAAGGGTATCCAATTGGCTCACGTTGGCGAATGTACGACCTTGAAGGAAATCGAAGAGTGTCCTGAAGATTGCAACGAAGTGCCAGAGGAACCAGTTTGTGGAAGCGACGGGAACGTTTATCGGTGATTAAAAATTATATTTTTTTTAAATGGACTCTCGTTAAGAATCTCATTTGATAAGATTAAGACGGTTCCTAATTTTGATTTCTATTTATAGAAAGAAAAAAATAATAAAAGATAAAAACAATAAACGTTCCACTTATATCTATTATACATATATCTATATATTTATTATATAGATATCTATATACTTATTTACTATTTATATATATATACTTATAGTATATCTATATACTTATTTACTATTTATATATATATATACTTATAGTATATCTATATACTTATTTACTATTTATATATATATATATATATATATATATATATATATATATATATATGTATATTGAAAAAAGTATGCTTTATAATACAATATAAGTATACATTAGTATATATAATTGTAATATATTTATATTAATATATACTACTATATTATTCTATACCAATTTATTAATTTATATATTAGAAACTTTATACTAATGCTAATTAATATATTAGAGTAATATAAATATTAATTTATAATCTATATTATTATTAATCTATTTTAATATATTTGTATAAATTATTTATATATATTAATTTATAAATTATCTTATAAATACTTAGTCACTTAGAAAATAATGATTTTATTAAATTGATTAAAACGATTGTAGAATATTTACAAATCGAGCGAGAATTTTTGAAGAAGTAATTTAAAATTTGTAACATTGAATTAGAACAATTGATTTTTTTTTGTTCAAAGCTCGCTTTGCCACCTACGCCACGAGACATGCGGTCAGAGGGTAGTACAAGTTCCCGCTCAGCACTGTCGTACTACAGCGCTTTGTAATCAAATCTGTAGTGGAGAACGTCAATTCGTTTGCGGTTCCGACAACAAGCTTTATCGTAACGAGTGTGAAATGAAGAGAGACAATTGCGGGTAAGCTAAGACTTTAACGTAGTTACCCCTGACAATATCGTTATTATTTCAAATATATATCATAATAATCTTTATTTGTTATTATATTTATTAGTTTCATTAATTTTTTAAAGCTATAATTATGAATTAATATCAACTATACGTTATACTAATAATTTATTTTTGTAACAGTTTCTTTATTAATTTTTAAGAATAAATATTAACTAAATATTATAATAATCTGTTATAACGATTTATAAAAGTTTCTCTATTCATTTTCAGAACGATCATTAGGTGTTATATGCTTCTAAAGAAATATGAATTTTAATTAATATATTTTATGTAACTAATATATTTGAAATATTACATATCATTTTAGGAAACACGTGTACGTGGTACCAATGAAAAGGTGCGTTCAAGGTTTCTTGTTCCGTGGCTGTCAAAAAATTTGTCCACCATATTACGATCCAGTTTGTGGCACCGACGGAATGACCTATAGCAACGAATGCTTCTTGGAAATAGAAAATTGTCGTAGTAGAAGCCTTGTCTCTAAAAAATATCATGGTGTATGTGGTCAACCAACGGAAGAACCGAAAAATTATTTGTATTAATTCGACGTTCGATCGATGTTAGATCAATCGATAGGTTGATTGAGGAAATCGATTTGAAAAAAAAATAATAATAAAAAAAATTATAATAATAATAATAATAATAAAAATACGTACGGGGCTACATCGAAGAGCGATCGATCGGCGATATGATACTAAAAGAAAATCGTCCTTGAAAATTTTACGAAACGATTTGTTTCGTCGATCGATCTTAGATACATGCAAATGATCGCGCCTCGTTTTTCGAAAAATATGACTTTAAGTGATTCGACGATGTGTACAACGCGTACATTAATCTGTAAGAAAATTTTAAGGCGCACAGTGTCGTATTTATAACGGAAATCTAAAGAAAAAAATAATCTCATGAGCGACAAAATCAATCGATTAATTATTATTCCATGTCGTTTGATCAATTTCAAAGAGAAAATCTTCATTGATTAATATTTTAAGCGAGCTTGCCAAGAAAAACTGGTAAATTTCATAATATTGAAAATCTTGCCAAATTAATAGAGATACATATTATCGTTGAAAGCCGTTAAAAAATCAACTTTTAATAGGATCACTATACTATACTTGATCGCTTTGTCGATCTTTTGCGAATATTCACATTCGTGAATCATCGTATGATGTTGTACTTTCAATGTAAAATATTTTTAAAAATTAACCCTCAAATGCGTATATATGTATATATGTATACGTGACAATACGTACGTTTCAATATATTATAATCTATTTAACACAAAAACTTAGATTTCTACTAAATTCAAATTTTTCGAGAAATTATGATAATATATCTAATTATTTTCTATTTAAATATTATATAAAAAATATTTTATATATATATACATATATATATATATATTTACCTATATAAAAATAAAAAGGTATGTACATAATATATATATATTATGTAAAAATTTCGAAAAAAAATAATCATGCATTAAAGGGTTAAAAAAAGATTTCTCTTTTTTTCGTAAAAAGTCGTCGTTATGTTTACCCAAGTTAAAAATTAAAGTAATTAAATAAAACATTAATATATCAAATTATTCATAATCTTCGACGATTCACGAACGCGATCAAAGATCGAAAAATATATTTCGTCATTCTCTTTCTCCTACTCCTTATCCCTCGTATTTATTTCAAGTATCATGCTTCAGCGTTATTCCGATCTCTCGCGACGAACAATTACGACGTGCCAAAATTGTCGAAAGATCGTGCGAGTAAGGATCAAGAATCGCGTATAAACACGTAGGCTTCTAAAATGATTTCGCATACGCGAAGAAAATAGAATCATTATTTTATTTATGTTAGATTCCTAGCGTTCTTTTAATTATAGAAAATCATTATTATTTATTTTACCGAAAGATATTTCTTTCTGTCTCTTTATAAGTTTTTTTTATACACGATTTTTCACCTATGTATGTACACATATACACATGCATATACTTATATACATACATACACACGTATATACTTATATACATACATATACACGTATATAAATACATACAGCTATGATACTCGTTCTAAGCGATCTATTTCTTCTTTTAATCGATGTAATAACGTAGACAGTAAAATACGTTTTTCAAACTAAGGAAGAAATGAAACTTTCCAGTCTAACATAACCTTCCGATGAAAATGCAATGTGTGTTCATATTATAATTAATATTACGTATTATTATTAATCAATATCGTGTCTTTAATTTATTTTATCGAACACGAGAATCCTTTTTTTGTATCGAAACTAACATTGTGTACACGCTTATCAATAATAAACCATATACGTATATTTTAAGATATGAAAGCATTTCCATAAACAAGTTTATACTCCTCTCGGAAGTTTTACATTTCTAAATAGTTATTTTCTCTTTTATTAAACATTAACATTTATATTATATTCTTAGAATACTTGGAGATATTAAAAAATTTATGTTGGAAGAATATTAACAATAATATTTACGAAAGTATTTGGAACACGTACTTACATTTGAACTGAGAAAATTTGATATTTGATTTCGAAGGAATTCGTTTAAACGACATTATCGACTAAGAAATGGCAAGATAAAAGTATGAGTAAAACGTTTAACGAATAACATTAAATTCGACTTTAATTTTCTATTAGAACGAAATAAATACGACGTCTGATATATCTTCTACAAAATTACTATATAAAATATGATATTAATTTTATATTAAGAAAAAAAGTAAGAAAAAATCGATAAACCAAATTGTTGCAAGTCGTTCAAACAGATTACGTTCACTAACGTGAATACTATGTTTGATTTTGTAACATCAGACGGCGCCACGTATGCTGGCTAGTAGGAACGTATACAGATGGCGCTTCGGTGTACCGCTATTGACAGGTGCCGAAAAAACATGGCGCTCAGTGTTTATGACAACTGATTGCTGCCGATGGAAATCATACGCGACCGTCACATATTCCTAGTTACATTTTACGCGGTTCTCTCGACAAATTGTTACGTAGATTATTAATTATTCATGAGAATAATAGATCCGTTAACGAGATTGCTTCAAAGGTGCCGAAAGAAAATCTCTTACGATAACGCGTGGCCCTCTTGAAAACGAGGAGATCAGAGGCTGAGGATATCATCGACAAATCAAAAGGAAGAGAGAAAAATAAGAACGTTTTGGAGAGCTGTTAAATCAACACCTTGCATCGAGATCAACGACAGAGTTATCGTAAGTAATAAATATAAACAATGTTTTTTTTATTGTTTCATTAAAATTTGCCGAGTCCATTGTCGATAAAGTGTCGTCGATGAACATTGCTTATATAAAAGGAGGGGGTTTAGTATCAGCATAGCAAGAACGGCGGGAGAGGCCATCTTTAAGTGTCCCCGTCGTAAGAACGAAGCTCGTGCCGGTGAAAGAGGAGAATGGAGAGAGAGAGAAAGAGAGGGAGAGAGAGAGAGAGAGAAAGAAAGAAAGAAAGAGAGAGAGATAGAGGGAGAGAGAAAGATAGAAACAGAAAGAGGGAGAAAGAGAAAAAGAGACAAACAGAAAGAGAGAGAAGTAAGAGATTACGCGAATCGTATTACATAAAACGTCGTTGCTTTGGCCTTCTCGTTCGACGCTCGGCCAACGAACGTTTATCGTCGAGGACGAATTTCTCTTTCTCACTCTCTGTTTCTGTTTCTGTTTCTGTTTCTGTTTCTGTCTCTCTCTCTTTCTCTCTCTCTCTCTCTCCCTCTCCCTCTTCCTCTCTCTCTTTTTTTCTCTCTCTATCTCTCTTGCGTTCTTATCTCCCTGTGTGATTTTCGATATACTTACGTACCTGGAAACGAACGAACTTGTGCGCCAGTTTCGTGTTATCCTGTTTTTCACGTATGTACATCTATGTATGTATATATGTATGTAATATGTATATGTGTGTTAGTAGGTAGTATCTTCTTTTATATCTCATATAACAATATGTACGAAATTTGTCTTAATTATTTTTGTCTAAATGTATATATAATTTATATTATTACTTTTATTATGAGGTAATGTACTTTCCGAGATCGATTAACGGTTAATAAAGATGATCGAAAAATAAATGGTTTATTATTCGTAAATAAAAACTGGAACAATTTTATTCAATAAAATAGGACGTATAATAATTCCGAAAGGAACCAATGACCTTTATATTATTTATGTTATTCCTGGAGTCGATGGTTTACGTACGTATATAATATTAAAGTTCTCTCTTCCAAGGAAATATATATATATGTATAGATGTAAATATTATATATATGTATATATGTATATATTGTATATATGTATATATGTATATTATGTATATATATATATATATATATATATATATATATACACATGTATATTGCTTTTCTCGCTTCGCAACAAGATTTAAATTTATTCCTCGAGAAATCGATACTTTCTACGGCTGCATTGCGCGATTCTTTGCTTATCGAGCATGCCCGATGGCGCGCATTTTGAATTTATAGAAAGTCGATTAATTTTTTCTAATTTATTACTTGTCACTTATGATACGATAACATAAGATTTTTCTGTTTTTCTTTTCTTTTTTCAATGATAATGAACAAATTACAGAAAAAACACGTTATACGTTTTTTATTCTTTAAGAGGTTATATATACTTAGATGATATAAAGAAAAGGCAAGTTTAATGACTTTTTTTTTTTACGAAATTTAAAAGATCGGTTTTTTGGAATTATCGATGTAGAATAGGGCAGAGTTGTTTTATAGTTGTATAGCGTATGCGATGTGAATATTTCCTCGGGGTATTATCAAAAATCGAAAAAAATTAAAAAGCCCTTAAACTATATTAAAAAGAACCAATCCTTCAGGAAGCCAACTTCTAATTTATTTTCATTTAATAAAAAAATATGAGCGATTGAATTTACTACGTGATTTTCGTTTTTAATGATTAACAAAAGAACTATGGGCCTTAAGAAAAATTTCTGTATGACAAAGATTACTAGATAATGATATGAAAAATGATCATGCCAAATTTCACTCATGTCGGTTTAGTAGTTTACAAAATATTGTCGGCAAAATATGAAAAACATAGTTTCTAAAGAGTACCGATTGAAGATTAAGATACTTATCTGTAAAGTCAAACTTGTCGAGGTTGATTTCAAACAACTGTAACTTCGTTAATTTTTGATATTTTCTGATAAAATTTTTAGAAAAAAAAATTCTTTAAAAAATAATATCAATGAATAAAAATTGTTTTGAAAAATCGAGTTTTTTTTTTAACTTTTTAGATGTAATAACTTAAGGAACAATTGTTATAAATTCGAATGATAAGTGATTGAATTGATGAAAACGTGGGAGTTGAGGATAACAGAAGTAGCTCAAATTCTTCGTACGATCAATTTAATTTACAACGCATACCGAAGGATGTTGCCAAGGAGTTATGAGTCACAAAGGCTTCTCATCTTTTGTTTATTGGTCACGTGTTGACGGATTATTTGTTGAGGAGACACTTTTTTTAGATCATGAATATAGAAGGTCGTATAAGGAACGTGTAGAATGAGAGAGAGAGAGAGAGAGAGAGAGAGAGAGAGAGAGAGAGAGAGAGAGAGAGAGAGAGAAATCATGGTTCATGTTTGATCGTTTTATCTTTGCTTTTTCACGCCTGCTTGGTCGCTTTCTTAAAATTTGCTTTAGTAGATAATCGTGATGTAAGCTACCGTACCAAAGTTGAGGGAATTTCATGATAACGCGAGTGAAGTACAGGGAACGAATGCTTCTACCACGAGATTCGAGTTATCCAATCTGGTCTCTTGAATATTTATGAATGTATGTTTGTGTGTGTACTAAAGTGTTATGGAGGAAGAGTAATCTAGAACGTTTATATTTATACGAGATTTAACCGTCTCGATTGATAATAAATCTTGAAGTATAACTTTTCTGGAAAATATTATGTATTAAAACATCAATAATAATCGGCAGTAGCATGATAGTATATGCTTAAGCATTTAACACCTTGTCATTGAATGACATTTTTCTTGTTTTAATTTAATTTTTCAAAAAAAAAAAAAAAAAAAAAAAAAAAAAAAAATGAAAGAAAGAAGAAAAAAGAAACTATATACGAATACATATATATGTAAATATTTTAAATAAAAATTGTATCGTCATTATTCGTTGTTTTCTAAATTTATGATGACAAATAAAATTGTGAAGAACATAATGTTATAATTATCTTATGAATTAATAATTTTATTAGCTTGCATATATTTAAGATTTTAGTAAAAAATACGACCGTGTTCCTGCTGTGTAGTATATTATTATAAATTGAAATAGAAAAATGGCGCATGGTAAATATATTACAAATAAAAGGTAAAAACAATAGAGACCTAGAAGAGAAACAAATAATTGGAATTCTTTGCATCTTTGCTAAAGATAAAAAAATATTAGAATAGGTATATCGTATATATGGGAAAGGAGATTGTTTTATGCGCCAAGAATCTTGAAGTAAAAAGAAACAAAAATAAAGAGAGAAAGAGACAGAGAGAGAGGGAGAGAGGGAAAGAGAGAGAGAGAGAGAGGGAGAGAGAAAGAGAAAGAGAGAAGATATTGCACACGAATATTTTTTCTTATATAGCTGCATTGCCCGACATAGTCCAATAAGCGATGTCATGTAACAAATGCGAATGGCTCGTTCCTTCTGCAACGGGATTACGTTATTGATGCAGTATGTCGTGCCAAGGCGAAACGGAATTGAGTGTGATGTAAGGTCAGAAAGAGAGAGAGAGAGGGAGAAAGAGAGAGAGAGAGAGAGAGGGAGAAAGAGAGAGAGAGAGAGAGAGAGGGAGAAAGAGAGAGAGAGAGAGAGGGAGAAAGAGAGAGAGAGAGAGAGAGAAAAAATCATCCTCGAAGGATTACTTTCTCACAAATCTATTCTTTGAAACAATCGAATTCATTCAAATTATCGTTTCCTCAATGATTATTTCATGATACCTTTATCGAAAAATATTAAAGAAAAAGAAAAAAAATGGAAAAAAAAATAAAAGATAAATAAATTTTTATAATATGCATAATAAACAAATGTAAAATATATTGTATATTATGTACATACATATGCGATAAATGTGATCCATTTGTTTTCTTTTTGTTTTCTTTTATTTATTATTGTTATTCAATTAATTTTATTTTTATTTCTTTTTTATATCTTGTTTATCCAGGTATTCCAGATGATCATTTTTTTAGTTATCTTACGATTTTTTTCTGCGTAAAATAAGCTGTTTAATTTTTTTTTTTCCATTTTTCATCTTTTCATCTACAATAACAGGAACATTCTATTAGATTCTAATTCATTCGAAAGCACGTTTTATAGTTTTTTCCTTTATTTTTGCTTTTGAATATTTGATATATTTCTTTCGTTCTTTTTTTTTCATGCCTTTTTTTTTTTTAATTGCATTCTGAATGTGCTTTCGCCAATAAACATCCTTTTTGCTAGTTTCCTCTTGGATATTTCTCTCTATTTTTTAAAATTCTTTTTTATATCGTTTGTCTATTTTCAATGGTCCATCGCTTTTTATTAGCTCGAATAAAATTTTTGCTTTTACGCTTTGAAAATTGACGGTGCGGAAATCTCGCTTTCTTTTAAGTCTCCCTCTCCCTCTCTCTCTCTCTCTCTCTCTTTTTTTTCTCCAATTTTGTTTCAGAAAAGAGAGCACGATAATTTGCAAACGAATAGGCTTGATGACGCAACGTAATTGCCATATACAAGACATGTATAGTACACGTATCTATCCAATGAGCTTCGACATTGTTATTGTATTAATTGTATTAGAAAATCGTACATGAAATAAAACAAAGATATAAATAAGATAATAAACTTTAATGATTTCACGATGTATAATTTTTATTTAATGCTATCTATTACGTGATTACGTATGATATACAACGTGAAGATAGATGATAAATATAATATATTGTAGCAAATATAATACAATAAATATAATATAATATAATAAGATAACATAATAAATATAATCATTATTATATGTTTAATTTATTTATTATTAATTATTATTATAATTATTTAATAAATGATTTAATAAATAAATACAACACACGTCTTTAAATCAACGTGATATAATCGCCGTTATCCTATTAAAATTTAGTGCGTTTTCTTGCGTTTTCTACTAAAATTTATATAGTACATGTTTATGTAAATTTTAATTTAAGTTATTGAAATATTTAGATAAG